CCGGGCGCCGCGCCAGGGCCCCGAGATGCCCCCGCCCCGCGGCCTCGCTCTGCGCGGACCGGGACTCCCTGCGCGCTCAGGGCGCACAGCCGGCCGCAGGCCCTGCCTTGCAGAGCCCGGGGACCTCGGCTGGGCCGCCCGCTGCGGTGCACGCCCTGCCGGGCAGCTGTGCCGGGGCGCCTGGGGACGTGGAGCGCCCCCTGCACTTGCCACTGCTCAGCCTTCCCTAGCTCTTGAGCATACATTGGAGCGTCCAGCCCCGGTTGTTTCCTGGGACCCGCTGTGCGCCCCCCTAGTCTAGACAACAGCAAGTGCTCAGAATCAGGCCCATCCCTCCCCAGGGACGCTGTGCAGTAAGTAGGTGCTGGACGAGTAGAATGGACTCCTTTCTCTGCATGTGATGGGGTGGCAGAGCTCCCTTCCCCACCCCAACCCCCACAAACAAAATAAAAATCAGCTGCCCGGCCTGGCCTTGCTCCTCCTTGGCACAGACCGTTTAAGAGCAAAAGCCCCAGTTAGGGGGTAGAAACGTGTCTGGCCCTCCCTGCCCTGGCCTGGCCGGGTGCAGCTTCATCGCTCTTGGTTGGTCAGCCCTGTGACACTCGAGAACCATGGAGCTTCCCTGGGGTCACCTCTGCTTCACTTTGCAGATTCAAGAATTCATCCAACAGATGTTTATTGAAAGCGTGCCACGTGCAGGGCAACCAAGTCCCTCCCAAATGCCAGCCTGTGCTCAAGCCCCCAAGAGAATGTGAGAGGATTCTCTTTACTGTCCAATCAATGCCATCCCCTGAGGCTCAGCTTCCTCGAGGAGGCTGACCTCTCTAGGCCACCACCCTGCCTTTATCCAGAGCAGCTCAGGCGGCCCAAGTACACAGGGCAGACACCGCCATTCCTGGATGCTGGGGATTGGGTTGCAGCCTTGGAGATACAGCAGGGAAGGGGCAGTGTAAGCATGGGGTGAGCACGGGGTGGCGTCTCCAGGACTCTTCCCGTCTTTGAGCGACCTTTCCCACTGCCTCTCATGCAGGGTCTGCAGGAACTGGGATGGAGACTGGGGAGGGAGAGAGGAAGACAGCCCCAAGGTGGGTGTGTGCATTGCTGTGGCCTCAGGGCTTAATGGGGAAGAGCAGGCAAGTGTGTACCTGGCTGTGGCTGTGTGTGTCCACAAGGGGCAGGGGCTGCTGCACATAGTGCTGGACCATGGCAGCCAAGGAGGAGAAGAGCTGGACAGGGAAGCAGAGCATTTGTGAGTCCCATGAGCCTCATGCTGGGAACGAGCCTCATGCTGGGAATGAGCCTCATGCTGGGAACAACTTCTGAGGCAACTGTGGGGCTCTGGTGTGGGGACTTGTTGATGTTTTCCTAGATATTTTCTTTCCTGTTTGCCATCTAGGTCTCATGCAACTTTCCTGCGACTGCACCCATTGGTCAGACTCCTATTTCCAAGGCCAGATCAAAATAACATGCCTCTGCCCTGGTCCAGCGTGGGGAGCTGAAGGGCAGGTGATTGCCTAGTTTGCATCCCAGCAAACGCTGGGTGCAAAGTTGAGCTCGTGGAGTAAGTTGACAGGAGTGTGGACTACCTGGATCCTGCCTTCCTCTCAGTTGGGTTCATTATAGACACAAATGCCCCCAGCTCGCCCCTGTGCAGACCGAGCCAAGGCAGGAGGGGGCACCACCCCCAGATCAGGGTGGGCCTCTTCCCAAAGCTCCAGGTGTCTGGGAAGGAGTCCAGAGCTCTGGCCTCTGTCATTTCCACCCACCCCAGAAAACTACCAAGTGTGGATTTTCCCCTAGGCAAATGCTCTTGGCTGGGTCCCAGGTACTGCTCTGCTGCACCCTCCTTCCTGTTAGGCCCCACCTCCTTCAGCACCCACTTGCTGGAGGTTCCTGCCTTCCCAGGTCAGGGCATAGTGGTGCCCGCCATCCAGGCACCGGATGGAAATGTTGGAAACCTGGCCTTGGAGGAGCACTGCCAGGGTGAAGGGTTGGGAGCTGCTAGGCCTTCAGCTGGGGCTCATGGTGTAGACCCCGTCCTGTGGAGGAGATCCCAGCCGTCAACCTCGTCTTCCAACTGACCACCCACAGTCCTGACCCCCCATAGCCAGAACCCCCCTGGCCCTCCTGAGCCTGCTCACTCAGCCAGCCATAGCCTGTGAACAGAAGGGATTTCAGATAAGGCCCAGGGGTCTGTGGCTGCCCACCTTTTGGAAGCAGAGCAGGGCACTCTCAGTGGCATGATGGCCGCAGTTCCCTAAGTACCAAGGCTGACCCAGCAGGCTGCCATACACACATAGCCACTCAGAGATGTGCCAGGGCACCAGATCAGGCATGGGGAGCAGAGAGCCCCGGGCGCAGTTAGTTGTGTTCATGTCTGCGTTCCCTAGACTGAGTCCTGCAAGCAGAGCAGAGAGGTGTCCATGCTTGGTGCACAGCATGGTGCTGCATGTCTGAGCCCACGAGGGTCCCTGGGTGAGGACTGTCAGACTATGTGGCCTGCAGGCCTCTCCCCTGCCTGCTCCCAGCCCCGCGTCACCTCAGCAGCTGAGATGCTACCGGTGGGAAGAGACAATCTTCTTCCTGTTAGAAAAAGCGGATTATAGAGCAGGGGCTGGGAAGTGGTTGAGCAAAGGAGGCTTCCGGGAGTGCAGCTGCAGAGGTGGAGGAGGAAGGGGGAGGGTGTGCACAGGCCTTAAGCCCAAAGCAGGGCACCCAGTGCTTCCCCCCTCTCCAGGTCCAGTACCCTGGTAAGTCCCACCAGCTAGGCCTTGTGTGACCTCCAAATGAAGAGTGATCTTGGGGCACAGACCTGAAGCTTCCTAATTTGGTGTAGACCCTGGAAAATGCCCAAGGGGGTCCCCTCAGGCCTGATCTCAGCTGGAGTCAGAGCTGCAGGGAAAGTAAGGCCTGAGGGACTTGGAGGGAGAGGCTAGGGCAGCCCTCGGCAGGACTGCCCACCTCCATGCTAAAGAGGCCTGTACTCACCTTTAGGGGTGGCATCCACTGCTCGCTGGGGCACAGGAGGTCTGATCAGAAGAGATGGGCCCTGCAGGCCTGCTGCTGCCCGGGTCTGAAATCCCACCTGAGCCTTTCTCCCTCCCTCCCCTCCCAGCTCACTTCCTCCCTGACCACCAGCCTCTTACATTCTGAGCTTTCTGGGGGGCTATGGTGAGCCTGCAGGGAGCAAATTGGGGAGCAGAGCTCAGAATGCATGCACACACACACACTCTCTCTCCCCCCAACACCTGGTGGGGCACTCACCTGGGCAGCACTAATGTCTTTTATTTATTTATTTTTTTTAAAGATGACCGGTAAGGGGATCTTAACCCTTGACTTGGT